GTTCGGCGCAACGCTTTACCTTACCCGGTTATGGTTATTTATTGGCTTTCGCGGCGTCTGTAGCCAGCCTGGCAGCTTTACCGTCCCTCGGTTTGAAAACCATTCAGAGTTGAAAGCCGTTGGATAACAGTTTCTTTTTTTTTGTTTTCAGGCCTTTGTAATTGGTGTTCAGAACACACTTTAAAGAGCCGCAATATACGTTTTATTCTGGAAAAAATTCGCATGCGACGGAGACGGTTTGGCAGTGTATTATCACTGTTTTTTTGTGTGCCGTTGCTTACAGGAATTACATCTTTTCAAGGTCATGACCTGTTTTTAAAAAAAATAAAAAATATCTTCACCAAACGCAATAACCAGGGCATAATGAATGCTGGACGGTAATGGCCCCAATTGAAAGGGATTTTAACCCAAAGCGCGGAACGGTGTGGCGGCCGGTGCCTCAATGCTGCATAATAATTGGGCGACGTGATCAAATTAACGCAAAGTTTGCAGACGTACAGTCGCATAATCGTTTGTTGTTTACGGAACTACGCTGGGGGCATTTTTACCACGTAGCTCTGCACGAAAGATTTATTGATGTTTGCCTTTGTGCGTGATCACATGCAAGCCAGTTTTTTTTGGGTCGCTCATATCTCCTGCAGTCAATTTTTCAACTGGAATTTCACAATGGTGCTGATTTTGCAGACTGCAATCGCGTGAGAATTTTTTTGCCCGATCTGCAGCTTGAGATACTGAGCACTTAAAGATCATTTGCCTCGAACGTAGCAGCAGCCGCAGCTGCCCCCCTCTGCTCTTCGATTAACTGCAGGTGATATATTTTGTTGTTGTTGCCGAAGATTATATGGCCAGAAAGGTTCGATTACCCTTTATCTACGGTGCCTAAGTCTGTCCCTCGCCATCATTTTTATCAGCATGCCTGAGCCTCTCATTTAGTTGACTTGCCGCTAGTCAACACCGCACAGTGCTCGTACAGTCAAATACGTGTTTGGCTTCGGCCGTTAAATCTTTGTTTCGAGATTAGTGCAGCCTGCCTGTTGTTTCCTTGATTCTTGGTGGAATTAACAAATGCCGCACCCCAAAAAATTAATCTGGGGCCCCAATTTCATCTTAGGCGACACAAGATATATGAGCGGTGTGGTTGGCAGCGCATTGATATCTTTACGAACTAACTGTACCACACTACGATGCAGCATTTTTCCCGCATTGCTCCGTAAATGGCAGATTTGTTCCGCGGTAACAATATTTTTCAAATACGCTCCCGAAACCCATTCCTGCGTTTGTCGGAGCATCGTAGAATCTGCCCTAGAGACAAAGACATCACGTTCAATAATTAAATTAGTATGCTGCACAAGAGGGGAAAAAAAAATCTACTTGGCCTCTGTTGCACGAAAACGCATTCACAGGCCTCGGGTTCGCTCGCTCAGGAATTGTTTTCTCAGGCCGTTGGAAGTTACTGATCTTATCTTTTGTTCGGCAGAATGCTGGTTGCGATGATGAAAATGCCGTGCTTTCGTCATGCTCGGCCTGTGTGTTGCAGCTGCACGTCTCCCAACAGAACCCTCATTCACCCGACGATTGCAGCATCCTCTTCGTGTTTGCTCCTCCGTGAGGCCTCTAGCAGAGCGCGGCTCCCTGCATAACCCTCGGTATTTGTGTGGCCTTTGGAGCGCGGGTGCGAACCCTTTCCTGACTGGAGAGCTGAAAAAAAAGGAAATAATTCCATCCATTCTCAATCCACCAATGGATGAAGGCCTTGCCCACACCATGTTGGTTGTGGACGTTTTATTTTATTTTACAATACTTCGCACTGGTCAGTGCGGGCCGGTGAAGAGGAGGGATTGCGATAACTTTGTTGAGACATCACTCGCCACTGATGTTAGCCGTTGCCAAATAGAACTTTCAAATACCTTTGGTGGGACCATACTAACACACACCTCTCGCTTGCTTCCGTCACTGCAAGAGGCCCGTGCAGTGACGGAAGTGATTGGGCACGCTAAAATTAGAAACGCGGTGTTGTTGCCAGGCAGAAAATATTCCTCTCTAGTATCCGATTAGTGCGCCTATGTCGCTGTTCTTGACGATAAATAACCACGGTGGGCTGCTTCAAAGTGATAGGCCTGTGAAGAAGCCGTGGACCCTGTGCAATGACTGCAGGCTCCCCACCCCTGCTTTCGAGAGACTGCTGTGTGTGTGTGAGAGAGTTGGCACAGTGGTGAACACAGGTGGTGCATCTGCCAGTCATATCAGTCAGTTAACCCATACCACCTGGGTCTATCACATGACCTGCCAGCGAAACCCTTCAATGCTTCACGTGAAGGCCTCAAAGTGCACCAAGCTTGGCACAAGCGCTGTGGTGACGTCACTGCCGCTTAGTGGCGAATGGTGGCTGTTTTTGTTGAAAGTGACGAGCAGTGGTGCATAGTTCACCCACTGAGATGTGGACCCAGTGACTTTCATTCGATTCCCAGCGTAGGCTGGACCTGTCTTGGGCAATAGGGAGACAAAGGTGGCCAGGCACAGTGCTGGCTACAACTTTTCCACGTGCACAGTGCTGGTCTTAATAGGTGCTCGTGAAGTGACATTGTTCCAACAGTCTTAACAGTCAACGAGGGGCATTTGCCTTTAGGGAAAATTACTCTGTTCAGTTGAATATATTTCAATTTACCCTAAAGGGAACAGCTTAGTTTGTTGATTCGCATTGCTTAGGGAACAATGGATTTATTACATTTTAGGTGAAGGCTTATAAATCCTCTGGCCTAGGAAAGGAGGCATCAAGTAAGCTCGTATTTAAGTGCATGAGGTAATTGTTTCAGCGCTTTTGTTGCGAGAAACCATATTAACGATGTAATTGGCATTCTGCTGTTGCGTATTGTTAACCGCATACTGATAAACACGTCCTGAATTTAATTAAAATCATTAGGTTCTGCATTGCTGCAAGTGAATGTAAAAGTCTCATTCCTAGGTTTGTCGGAGGAGTGTTGCGCTTCAAGCCAAAAACAAACAATTAACCGTTTGGTGTTTTCGTACTGGGGTCTGCTGTGATTAATCTGGCCTATTAAATAATCGTTTATTATCAGTGTTATAAGCACAAGTAACGTCTCTCGGCGCGGGAAAGCAACGAAGGAAAATATGCGGCGGCTGCACAATTGGGCCGCGCGCGCACGCACGACATCTCATAAACATCCTATCCGGGCTGGAATTCTTTAAGTGCCACGTAACCTCTCTGCGGGATTGTTACTCATGCAGAGAAGGAGGTCAGATGGCATTCCCAAGAAAGGGAGGAGGAGGCTTTTTTTGGGGTTTCATGCCGAGTTCATCCGAAAGTGCTGATTCATTTGTTGGTGATGAACTGGGAACAGTGGTGGTTGGCAGGGCAGTGGAGGACCTAATTTGCTCACGTTGACTGATGGCAGGCACGCGGTTCGCAACATTTTTTTGCCTTCTTGTTGTGGCTTTTTTGTGAAGGTGTGCAGGTGGGTAGGACAGCGGGGCCGCGTGTACGTTGGTACGCGTGTGTGTCCGTGTCCCCGTGGAACAGCATGCTTAGACGTGCTGTACCGCCACACGTTACACGAGCCATTTAAATTCAACACTCAATCCGATGCACGTGCAACTGCGCAGAGAGAGAATCCTTAATGCAGAAGCCAGTTGAGGTCATGTTTAAACAGCACAGCTCCTGCGAGGTGGATCTGGGTCCCTGGGCTTGAGTACAACCTTCAACATTGGGTGGCGTGACCACATCACCCTGAATGCGCCCGATCTCATCACGTCATGAAAGCTAAGCAGGCATCTGAGTCTGGTTAGTAGGGAGACTTTTCTGACAATGTCAGGTATTGTAGGCCATGAGATGTCAGTACACCAACGGATTATTGTCACCATCCGAGCAAGGTTTTAAGTGCAACCCCACCATACCCATATGCTTTTATTCTGGGTGCTCTGCTTTCTTTCCACTGTATGCCACTCTTTTCTGCAATTGGCCAAACATATCACTGCCACAGGACCCTCTTGAAAACATCATTTTCAGACTCGCTGGGGATTTGATGGATAGATAAAGGGCATTGTTATAATTATTGTAATGTATAAGACAGGATTAAGTTACTAGTGTTCTTGAGCAAAGAGGCTTACAAGTACAGTACGTGGATTTATGCTTCATTTAATCCCCAATGCAACAATAGACACACTACCTCTGCAAGGTCTTAACGATAGCGGCGACCGGCTGAATGCGCCACTGTGAAAGCAGAACATGTTGGGTTTTTGGGGTTTTCGCGAGCAATGTGCGACGGGGTTGACGTCGATGTTTTCCTTGCAATTACGCACGGACGTATTAAGGACATGTCCGCGTCGCAGCGAGGGCGTTCTCTCTCTGGCGTGCGTGCGTGCGCGGGCGGGCGAATATTCCCATTGTCTCTATTTGCATGTTTCTGGCAGGGAAGGGCGGACATGACAACCTTGATGAATCGCGCACACAAACGCGTTGTGGGAAACTGACGCACAGGGCTTCCACTCTTGCCATGCGCGGAGAGAGAGGCGTGCGTGAAAAATAATATTACCGCTAACTACACCAGGAAGGAGTTTTTTTTCTGTGGCACTTCGGAGTCTCTCCAAATTGGATTCCGATTATTCACGTGGTTGCCAGTGAGTAAGAACTTGACATAACTGCGATGTCGCTTCTGATGCTGCCACTGGCACGAATCGAAGGTTGTGTAGAGAGAGACGGCATGTCAAGCGCTCCGAATTTTCTACGTTTTGATTTAGGAGCAGCTTAAGTACTGGAGCACAAATTAACATTTTGTGTGCGTGGCAGTGGTGGCGGTGGCTGGTAGCGGTGGCAGTGATGGACGGCGCCATCGTGTTGTTGTGCCTGAGACGCGTTTAATCAAATTTTATTTCCTTCCCTTAGGGTGCGGGCCGGTAATTACTAATTAGCTATGCAGCGCCCGTGGCAGCGCACAAAAAAAGCGCTGATGGAATTAATTGATTTCTTTCTTTTTATTGTGCAGGGAAGGCAGTTCTTCATGCTTTGTTGAGGAAGACAACAGGGAAGTGTCAGCACTGACTGATGATTATCAACCCTGCCGGTTTGTAGTGCAATTTGCAGAAAATTATTTGTATCAGCGGTTTGATTAATTTTATCACACCTGCTCGTTAAAGCCACCCCGATTACGCTAATGTATTTGCGCGAGACTGGGCAATATCAAACGCCACCAATGTTGGTGTGAGTTGGCCGCGTGGTTCAGAGGTCAGAGTGCTGAGCCGGCACCGCTGAGGCCATGAGTTAGAATCCCGGCGAGAATAGCCTGTAATTAAATGTGGGTTTCCAAGTGCGGAGAGTTAATAGTCTCAGCCCGATCGCCAAAGACTGCTCAAACAAACCCATCATGCTTAATTTGGTTTGTCACTTAATTTATCTGATTTCCAACTCCCAGAATTAAATATCAGTTTGAACATTACCCTAATGGCAGAGCGGGTTGGAAATTGCTGCCCTCTACTGTGTGGACCAGAGGTCACGTGGAAGGATTTCAGAGGTAGTTTGTGATATCTACTTCCGTGGGATATTCTGAGTTCCGAACGAATTCTCACGCGATGTCGACAGCACAGTTGGTGCTGTATAGTAAAGGTGCATCCCTACAATTGCTTGTTAATGCCTTTGTCGATGGACAGGCCTGCACTGGAAGGGATTTGGCCTACCCGTCGTTGACGCTGGCCAGGTGTCTTGGGAAGAGGTGGCAGTACCCACATTTTATCCCACGGCACTCGATCCATTTCAGCTGCTGGGGTAAAATGGCAACCGTGGAAAAAAATACCCTTCCGCTGTTTGCATGCGAGATTATTTAGCAGGCCGGCCGAACAGAACAGGCAACTCTTCCTCCTCCTCCTCGTTGTTGTTTAATCGCGTAGAGACCGCCGCCGTAGTTTGTCTGCCGCTGAGTTCAAGCAGGGTTGGTAAGTGGGAGGAGAGGCACGGCTTAGCCATGCTCCAGTAAAGACAGCCTGCAGCTGATCAAAGTGCGGAGGGGGCCTGGGATTCGCATTCCAGAAATGAGGGCTTAAAACATCAACCATAGTTAACGTTTTTTGCCTGCCGCACCCCTTCAGCTCCCCCCCCCCCCCACTCTCTAACCGCCCCCCGCCCCGCTTCCAGTTTGTTTTGTAACGCATGCCCCGAGTTCAAGCCATGGGAGGAGATGGCTCCGTATTAAGCGTTTAGACAAGTTAACGTTCATGAAAAAGAAAATATCTCATACTCTCGCAAAACAAACATCACATCTGTTGAAGAAGAAGAATAGGGAGGTGGCGAAGGCCCAGCAGCAAAAGCGTTCCGGTATGATCACACCAGAGTGGAATGACCCGAGTTCGATTCTCAGCCTCGTTTAGCAGCAGCAGCAGTAAATGATTCCTGAACCAATCCTGGGTTCCACTTCCCCCATCCTTTCACCAACCTCCACTGACGAAGCGCAATAAAATATGGTAAGTCAAACTCCCATGACCATCACGTTGTGGAGAAGTCTGTCCAGCGGTGGTTGAACGACAATGGTCCGTAAAGTGTTGGTTGCGCAAGGAATGGTTTTGGGGACATGATTGCTGTTGCGTTTGGTAACTTTCTGCAATTTGGGGATTTTACCGGTTTCTCTTGTGCCGTTAGCGAAACAAGAGTGAATATAAGGAGACCCTAAAATGCCCCTGGTACTTTCACATGATGTCACCTTCCGCCAACCTGAGCTGGCCAGCCCGCTGAAGTACTCTCAAACGGCCCCCACATCACGGCGAGGCCTTCCATCCAACATCGGATTGTAAATCAATCGGTTAATTAAGTGTTTCACTGCGTCCTCTTTTTCCGCCCGCCTCGCTCGCTCCCCGCCCCCCAGCCCGTCCTCGCCTCTCGCCTGCAGAGTGAGTGCCCCCCCCCCCGTGCCTCCGCAGACCAGGCCGTGGAAAGCGTGGGGAGTTGTACGGAAATGGGATTAGCTTGGCCGTTGCCGTGGGAACCGGTGACGGGGCCCAGCAGGTGCCGAGGTGCGCTGGGCGGAGGTGGGGGTGGGTGGCCACAGCCAGACCCGTCCGTTGGCCCTCTCGCCATGAGCAAACAAAAACCTCCTCGCCGAAGCCAGCGGAGCGGCACAAGAGGCAGGGGCGCCGGAGCGTTTCCCCCGCGACGATTTCAGTGCGGTCTTAATTTCGTTTTTGACGGCGGCAATATTTTTTTTGCAGCCCTGGATGAAGGCCTCCGTCAATGTTGAGCATTTTCTTGATGGGTACAGTTAACATTGTTTGCAAATTGTGAGCAATCTGGTATGTGAGGATGTCAGCGTATCCTTAAGCATAACACTCATTTGCGGCCCTTTTGTCAGTCAGCTGCTGGATGGAGACCTCGAGCCACTTTGGCAGTGGGGGGTGTATTTGACCAGACTGCACCAAGTTGGTCATTGTGCATTGGTGAAGGACCGGGAGCTGGCGGGAGACCCAGGATTGGTTCGGATTTCAGTGCCCACCGATGTTATCTGTGACCAGGAAACGAACCCAGGTTCGCAGCGTCGTGTGCCAAGCACGCACTGTGCCACCACTCGGTCCCCCTCAGTAAATCCATGTGTCTGCTCGAAGCAGAATCTTTTACGTTATTAACCGGTGTCTCTTTTCTTGAAGGAATGCTATTCAAATAATAGTGCTGTATTTTAATCCACGAAGCCTCACTCACGAAGTCTTATGACCCTTCTCAGGATTTTGCGTGTCGGATTAATGAGCAAGTGTATTGTGTGTGGGATTACACTAAGAAAACGAATGCATATGAGGAAATGGCACTCAGATGGGTTCACCAACACCCCACTCGCTGTCCTGCCATCTCCTGCCAATCTCAGCCCAGCGGGTTTTGGAGTTAAAAAAAAATTAACGCGGAATAAAAAAAAATACCCTTCCATGCAAAGCGCCGGGCCAAATTAGCGTCGTGCTCTTGCGTGACTAAGGCAGTAATGGGAATTCCACATTTCTTTGTCAGGTATAATTTAATCCATTGCCTTCTCAACAAAGTAACACTCATAACGGTATCTTGAAACCTCAATGAAATGATCGCGTGATAATTTGGATCATTGTTGCTTACGTGGTTACGAGGAAGTGTCCGTGTTCCTTGAAGCCGGGAGACAATAGCTGGGAGCCCAGGGAGCGTCCCCCCCCGCCCTCCCGTGAGATGCAGAGGCGATCCTCCCACTTCGAAAACAAAGTTGGGGGCGGGTAGTGGGAGTGGAGGGAGAGGAAGAAATGAATTTGTCTTTTAATTTCCTGCACCAGGCCGAGGCTGCTATCCCCTGCGGTTCACGTCTCCGCACGGCTCGGCTCCATTAGCGGCGTCCTCCCAGGACAACGGGCGGACGCGGAGACCCAGTGGCAGCGTGGTCCCATTCCGAGTTTACGCTGCACCTGGTTAATTCATTCGCGGCCGATTAGAAATCGGCTTCGTGTGTTTTTTCTGTATACGATAGCGAGCAGCACCCCCCCCAACACCCTCCCCTACACGGGGGTAATGTTGCAAGCATTCCTGGAATTGTTTGTCACGTCCGTTCACAGCTGGCCCATTTATTTTCGTGCTGCATTATTCATTGTTATTGCTCTGGTAAAATCGCTGTATAACGAAATTTGGAAACAATTGTGAATTATTTATTTCTTTTTTTTTTCAGCGTCCAACCAACTCAAATGTGCTGGGCGCATTCTAATGAGTTACACGCGATGCCGTAAGAACTCCTAAGCCTAATTCTGCCGTACAATTCCTGACGCCGACGACCTTCAATTTGAAAGCGTAGCAAGGCATTGCATTAACGTCCGCGGAGAGGACGGATACAGCAATTGCTCGCTTGCCGTTGTCCATCAGTCTGTTTAATCTCCGTCTAATTGGAATTGGAATCTGGGCTCCCTGCGGCTTCTTGCCCTCCTCGTCCTCATCCTCCTCCGTATCTCCTCCCCTCTCCCCTTTATTCTGGCTGCGGCCGCATGGCCGCGTTCGTGCCCGTGCTCACGATTGCGTGCACGCTTATTCTTGTCGACAAGCTTTACTCGGTGGTCGGACAGCTGTCTCTAACCACAAACCTCGTGCTAAGCGGAACCTGTGAAGGCGGTGGGGGGGGGTTGGGAGCACTGCCCTGCAGTGATTTCCTCTCAACAACGCCGCTTCGATTTTTCCCTGCTTTAGGGTGCCACAATAATTTTAACTTACGTCTCTGACGTGCCGCTTTCATGCTTTTAGTTTCTTCCCACAGGGAGCGACCACTTTGCTCCTTTCATCGTGTTCCGCGCGTGTGTGCGTGTGTGTCTGTGTGCACTTGCTCGAACAGTATAAGCCCATTAGAGCTTCCGCATTGTGTTTCACAAGAAGCTTGCTGGGGCTGCACAGATGATGAAGACGTACAACTTACATATTCTTCGTTTGTTCCCATCGCGCCCGTCCCCTCTCCACTCCGCCGCAGGTATGGCCTCTCAGATGCAAGTCTTCTCTCCACCTCAGCCTCAATCCAGTGCCTTCTGCAGTGTGAAGAAGCTGAAACTGGAACCCAGCAGCTGCGTCTACCATGACGGAAAGACCTCCGCCTACTCGCATCAGCACAGCCAGCGCAGCCGACAGCACCACCACCACCACCACTTGCACCAGCAGAGCCACAGCAACGCTCACCACCGCAGCAGCCGGCACAGTGCGAAGGCCTACGCCGCCCCTGCCGCCGCTTCTTCCGCCGCGGTCGCCGTCACCGCCGCTGTTGGCAGCCACGCCGCTTACGAGCAGAGCCTGATCTTCCCGGGCGCCGTCGCGACTTCCGCGGCCACCGCCGCCGTTGTCGGCGCTAGCGGCGGGGCAGCCGGGACAGCGGCCGGCGCCGGGGGCGGCGCCAGCGGCGGCGGCGGCATCGCCCGGCGAACAACATTGAACCTGCTCGACACGTACCAGCGATGCGTCCTCAAGCGCAGGAGTAGCGAGGGGGTCGACGGCGAGCCGGGCAACGACGGCGGCGGCAACGGCGGCAACGGCGGCGCCGGTGGCGGCGCCGGCAACAACGCAGCCGGCGGCAACGCGACGACCACCGCCGCCAACGCGAGCAACGACGCGGGCAGCGTGCAGATTGTGGAGGAGCTGCCGCCCACTGCCGCCGTGGCGGCGGCCGCCCCCATGCTTGTGGGCAGCAACGTGACGATGGCGCCCACCACGAACGCCGCGGCCGTCGCCGCTGGCGGCGGCACCACCACCAACGCCAAGGCCAACAACCACGGCGGGTCGTCGTCGGGCGGCGACGGGGACTACCAGCTGGTGCAGCACGAGGTGCTGCGCTCCATGACCAACAGCTACGAGGTGCTGGAGTTCCTGGGGCGCGGCACATTCGGGCAGGTGGTGAAGTGCTGGAAGCGCGGCACGAGCGAGGTGGTCGCCGTCAAGATCCTTAAGAGCCACCCGTCTTACGCGCGCCAGGGCCAGGTGGAGGTGGGCATCCTGGCGCGGCTCAGCTCGGAGAACGCCGACGAGCACAACTTTGTGCGCGCGCACGAGTGCTTCCAGCACCGCGGCCACACCTGCCTCGTCTTCGAGATGCTGGAGCAGAACCTCTACGATTTCCTCAAGCGGAACAAATTCCGGCCGCTTGCGCTAGGCCACGTGCGGCCCGTGCTGCAGCAGGTGGCGACGGCGCTCGCCAAGCTCAAGAGCCTGGGGCTCATTCACGCCGACCTGAAGCCGGAGAACATCATGCTGGTGGACCCGACGCGCCAGCCGTTCCGCGTGAAGGTCATCGACTTTGGGTCGGCGAGCCACGTGTCCAAGGCCGTGTGCTCCACCTACCTGCAGTCGCGCTACTACAGGTGCGTCGGTGGGCGTGTGCGTGTGTTCGGTGCCTGGTTATCGTGTACAGGGTTGCGTACGTTCCAACAGACTCCAGATGATTGGGATTACACGTAGTAATCATCGCCCCCAGCTGACGGACTAGGGCGCTCTATCAAATGCAAATCGTCTTCATATTTTTAACGAGTGGGCTTTTGACGACACGTGTTGTGTTAACGAGTGGCGTGAAGCGAGAACGGGTGACGCACAACAGGGGCACGCCGGTGAACGTTGTTGTCCTGCTCCAGACGCGTAAAGGTTACGTCGGGAATATAATAACTCTGTCCCGGTGTTTTTTTTTATCTGTCTGTGGCATGCGACGACTCCCCCAAAAGGGTGTGCTTAGCCAATTCTGTAATGTAACCCTGGCCATGTTGATGTTGGTCAAACTCAAAGGTATCAAATTAAAAAAAATAGTGCATTAAACCGATGCGGCAAAAACGTGGGAATTCATTCACATTAAAGGGGGAACCGGCGTGGACGTGCGTTGATGATGTCGTTGTTGGTTACGGGAGCGTCGTTTACAGAGTCGTGTTTAACTGGGAAGGGTGGGTTGTTTTTTTCGAGACTATTGTAATTTACAATGGATTTTTGATGACACATTTGGTCTCTCGGTGCAGTGAAAGTCCCTTCTATCGTTACCACACTCCGGTTTTTCTGTCAAAAAGACAGTATTTGCTTCTCTCGGCAATGTCACTTCCTGGTATTGCTCCATTTCAAGTTCTCAAATTCACCATTTGGGTTTTTGTTCCTTAGCCGGTGTTATGAGAGTGGTGGCACCCAAAACGTGCAGTACAACAGCATAGCGCCAGTTTTAACACTGACATATACAACAACATAATGATCGTATCAGTTATGGACCCAGGAAAGCCTGACCGAGTCTCAAGACTCTTCATTCCTGGTTTCCTTACAGCCAAATGCCTACAACACCTGGCAAGCCACTTACGGTCGTAAATCCAAAGACTAACCAGGCACGAATGATCCTTCGCTTCCAATGCTTCCAAGATCTGACAAGATCGGGCCTACTCGGTGATTTGATCGCAGGCAAACGGTCACCAATCGAATTACATGAAGAAAAAAAACACTTGCCCAGCTAAAGTTTAATTTCGCGTTCAAAGTTTCAGCGCGCTCTTTGGGTCCGTAAACAGGCGGCGGTTACAACCCCGGCCATCGTGTGAGTGCGAGCGTGGAGGAGGCAGCCAAAAAAGCACGGAGAAGCGCGGCAGGCTGAGCCGGGGCCCAGCTCTCCGGCAGTTTTTCCCCCGCCCCCAAATTGGGGCTTATCTGGGGTTAATTTGGTTTCGCCTGCGCTTGGGAGGAATGCCAAACATTCCCTCTCAAAGGTCTAATGAGCGAACGGCCGAGCGGCCTAGGAGTTTAGGGGTGGGGGGGCGCTCCGTTTTGTTGGCCGCCCTCTGAAAATGAAAGCAAGAATGGGGGCCTCGGCGCATGCACAAAGTCACGCCGCTGAAAGCCTCGCGACGGCGAGGAACAGTGCGCCCGCTGTGTTCCCCCGAGCACGTCGCGGCAAGAGGTCTGTCTGTTCGGTCGTATGCAAGGAGGGGGAGGAAAAAAAAACCCGTTTAGAAAAGGAGACCCATTAAATGTAACTTTCCACCAAACTTAAGAATATACAAAGCATTTACAACTGAAATCTTAGCTTTCACACAAGCCTCGCCGTCCATGGGGCTTGTCCAACTTCATATAAGCGGGCACTTTGTCCAAACGGTTTTGGGAAGAAAGGGGCCTGGAACGTCCAGGAGTCGCCGGAGCTCGCTCGCCGATATCTCTGAAAAGGAAATGAGTGATGTGACCTTCAGTCGGCGCCGTGTTGGAGGATTCCTCGTGCCTTTGCTCGGGCTCTGTCCGCCACGATAGTTCGTCTGTAACTTTCCTTTCCCCCCCCCCCCCAAGGCCCTCTGGAGGGAGTATTTTGAACGTTTTTATAAACAATTTAAATAATATGGGTGTGACGATTCCCTACCCCCGCCTTCGCCACCACCCTCTCCCGCCGTACGATCCAGTGAATCGTCGTGACGATTTAGGGTCACTTCGATTTAAGAATCGTGAAAATAAATATTTTTTAACACCGGTGATGGTAGCGGCCTCTCGTGGCTGGGGGTGTCCTATTACTTTCAGCGCATACAAACTGAAGTTCTATAAACTATGGTGGTCGCGTGGTGATATTCTTGTGGAGGGGGTAAACGTTGATGGTGTTTTGGAGACTTTACGAAATTGGGATTTTGCCCAGAACCTTAATGTGGGTGGCAAGAGAGAGTGTATGTGAGCAAGCCATTAAATTGCCACCATTCTCACCGTGACAGCACTGTTGGTTCGACTCACTGCGGATGGGGCTGCAGTGCCTGTGCAACTTCATGCCAAGTCCCAAAACACAAACTGCTGATCATACTTCCCTCATGCCGTGTGCCAACATTCCCCAAACTGCAGCCATTAAATCATAATTTTCCTATACTCGGAATAATGTAAAATTAATCATGCCAGCCGTGATCAATCCACTGCTGGATAAGGGCCTCCTCCCCATACCGGCATCATCACTCAGTCCTCAGCTGTAATAAGCCATATGGCACTTGCGATACATATTTATCCAATACAGTTTACAAAAAAAAACATTCTCACGTTGCTGTGAATAACTTTGGTAAAAGCACGTATTTTGTTGTGTTCCCTTGATTCAGTATCAGTGAAGCTGTTGAATTCTTTGTAAATGATTGAAATTGTTTCTATTTCGTTCACTTTTTCACTTGCAAGAGCTTAGATGCCCGCTTCCAACAGCTACGTCCGAATCAAGCGAACAGAACAAGCTCCCGAGCCCCATCGTACGCTTGGGAGATGTCCCTTTTTTGCCGAGGCTTTCTAAAGCGTGCCCACGAATCGTGCAGGGTGCGGGTAGCAGGTGCCGTTGTGCCGATAAAAAAGCCAAAGCGAATAAATAAAGCAGCTTGCCCGCCCCCTTCGTCTCCGCTGTTCCCTCCTCGCCCGCGTTCCCTCTCTTTACGTCGCGCGCCGCAGCCAGCCACCCCCCCCCGCCCCCACTGCTGCTGCCCACCGCGCCGAGGCAGGCCGCCCGTGATTTATCTCCGCCCGTGCTCGCCGAGGCCGGACGAGCGGGGATTGATTTTTGTCTGTTGGCAAGGGGGAGTGCGGTTCCACGCGGGATATACGGCGCTAATCCCAGAAGCGCAGCGCCGCTGCGTTGTCGGTCAGCGTGCAGGCCTCTCGCTGCCATCCCGCCCCCAAGCCCCTCTCCCCCCCCCCCCCCCCCACTTGGTTGCACCATTTAAAATTATGATAAATTGGTGCCGCCTCGTCGGATTTCGGCGTTGTGCGGCACACTGGTACGGCGCTTAGTCCAGCGGTTCTGGGCCTTGTTCGGTACGACACCCATCCGCCAATCGGGACCACTGGTCTCCATACTCCCCCCTGCCCCATTACACACCCTAGGCCTCGAGTCAATGCGGTGTTACTAAGTCACGAGTTTCGTGTTGTGTATTCGTGTGTTTTGTCGCAGCAATGTGCTACTGACGTTCCCTCTGGGCATTCAAAATTTCTCCCGCACGGTCTCCATGCCACAACTGGTACCCCCCCCCCTACTGAAAGGCTTCCGCATCCCCCTGGGGGGTGGGGGGGTGCGAGACTCACGGGTTGAGAACCGCTGCTGCGGTCAAATCATTCCTGAGCCGTGTTGACACGAACGAATCCATCGTCCCAACAATGTTTTTTTTTTTCCGTCTGTTTCCGTGCTAGGTTTGTGCTTGTTGTGAAGTGTTACTGCCATGTAGTGCGACTGAGAACGTTTTTATTTTTGGTCCACTTTGAGTGCCTATCTTAACATGGTCAAAATATTTTTCAACTGCTCTTGTTTACGGCCAGCCGCTGCTGCTGTGAGATAAGGGCTTCGGTGGCGAGCTGTGTGGTCTGGAAGCGTGCGCGTCGTCGTCGTCGTCGTCGTCGTCGTCGTCGTCGTCGTCGTCGTTGTTGTTCACGCGAGCCGCCGCAGTACCCTGCGCGGAAAGCTCGGAGCGTCGGTTGTGGCGGAGACCGCGGTGTCGTACGTCGGTGTCAAAGGGGTGACCCGAGAGGATTGAGGTGCGCGAGCGGCAGCAGCAGCAGCGGCCAAGACGATCCCTCTTGCCGTGTGTGGCCAAAAGCGGCGTTCCACCCCCCCCCACCATCCCCAGCTTGGCCTGGCAGAATGCCTTGGGCCGATTAAAGCCCTGTTTATCCAGAAACAAATTTGTAACGGGGAACATCATGTGCGCTTTTACAATTCACTCGTTTTATTAGTAACGAGTGCAATCCATACGTTTTATATAGCCATCTACTGTTGCTTTAAAATGTTGTTGTCTAGCAAGATACGTTTTTATCACGCTTCAAAACCTTCCGCATACTTTTTTTTAATATTGCAGCATTGAGTCTCTTTATGATAATATATACTGGTTTACCAGCAGCTGATAATTTATTTGGCAATATGTCATCCAGATGTTAAAGTTAATGCTATTTATGTCTGTTTCATTTATTCGTAGAATGTTTGGCCCTTTTTCCAAATCTATTGCAGGTTGGCTTTCGACATCGCGTCCCGGCGTGAAGAATCCATTCAGAAATCTCGCAGAGCACTGCGCCCCGTGTCTCAGAGAACAGACACAGAATAGATGTTTTTTTCCGCAGGCCTATTCCTGAAACATCCTTCAAGTGGCCTTTCATCTTTGTAAACAGCAGGGGGCGGACTGTCCCACACACTCTGCTGTGAGATTGTCACTTAACAATCCAAGCAATTCATTCTCACAGTAACGACGGAGCTGAGAACATTCTCTCGCTACACCCGGGAACCAACTCTACCCGCGCACGACCGTTGAAACGTGGGGATTCGAACCCTGATTCCCTGCGGGACTGGGCTCTGTGTTCTTGACCTCTGAGCCACCCTAAACTTTGTTGCCAGTGTTGCATACAACAGATAGCCCCGCGG